AACACATCAAAATAAGTCTATTTATTTAAAGAACAACAAAATATTTCTTAAAATAATGATCTAAAATATTCTTTAAAACCTTTCATTTGACAATATTGCAAAGTGTACTTAAGCATGTTAAAAATGAAAGTGTAATCTCTATGTACATTTAAGTGTCATTTTTTATTAATATTAAATTATCTGCAAGTAAAGTTTTTTTTATTTATTTACTTTTAATATTTGAAGTACTACAAGTGCACATTTAATACAATTAAGTACTTTTTTTTCACAAGCACTAGTATGCAGCTGCTGAAAACCATTTAAAATCAGTTAGCATTTGGTGTCCCTTTAAAAGAACAGCTGCTGTTGTTTTCAAAGCATATTTTTACTATCAAATTGCACATCTAGGGCCCAATAAAGCGTAAGGCCACGAGAGCGTGCACATTACACTGATTTTTTTCAATGTTAGGGTTGGTCCAACAACTGTTTTAGTGATAGTATTATTAAAAATCTGGGTAGGTTATTTTTAAGTTTTCATCCAGAAAGGAAGTAAGGGACAACATGGGATTCTTCAGTCAGCAGTTGTTGTATATTACTGATAAACACATCTACTTTAATGGAGATTTCCTTTCCGTTAGCTTACATAATGTGTTTACACTGCTTTATTCTTGTTTTGCTGTTGTAATTAAAGGTTTAATGAGCCCCACTGAGAGCTGTTGAGACACAGGCTAGTGGTCTGGAAAGAAGACCTCCTGTCAGCCCCTCTGAATGATATAATCGCTCCCTAACTGACTCCCATCCTGAGGCAACTGCACACACAGTCTGCAGGAAAATCACATAAGTGCATACCAGAACTAACAGTGTTTTTACCTTGCATCATTTTCATGTCAGTGTTATAACTTCTGTCAAGTCAGCACAGAGACATATGACTATAAAACCTCTCGGGTCACGCAATGAGGAGATTGTTGATTACACATAAAAATCTGACTAATCTGCACCTTTTGTACCAAGTTAAGCACTTCACATATTTAAAATCCTGTCGGGGGATGAGGGAACTGTGCACTCCAGAATCAAAGGGGATATTTTACAAAATAGATGCCATTTGTGTCCCTCATTTACGGTACATATGTGTGAAAAAATAATTGAATGCCAGCTTTACTATATGTAATATAGACTAATAGATTAATAAATACAAATTTTTCTTTTTTCTTTTTTAAGTTTAGTTTAATTTAATCCTCTTTCTGCATGCACTTTTGTCTTTATTCATTCTAAATATATGATGGCAACAAATATGGTGTGTGTGTGTGTGTGTATATATATATATATATATATAT